GCTTCAAATTAAATATTTTGTTTGCTCATTAAATGTGTAGTTTGGAGCTACAGTAAAGATTTAGTTAGCCGGCTAACTAAATAACTATTTAGTGAAACTAAGTATTTACTCTGCAGCTTGAAACTAAATACTTTATTTAGCTTGCACACTAAATATTTTGTTAGCAAACTAAATACTTAGCTTCACACTAACTTTTAAGTTTGAGTACTAAATATTTAGTTCAGAGCTAAATATTTAGTTTCCAAACTAAACGCTTATTAAATATTTAGTTGGAAGCGAACTTTTATAAATGAACAGAATAGATGATAGCCTTTAATTTTAAATATTTTATGAACTATATGCACTGATGTGAAACATGCCCTGCGTCTGCATTTTAAATTTCTAAACTTCCTGTTTCAGGATCAAGTTTTTCACCGATTCTGGACCTGAAAGCAACTGGACTCACGCCTGCAGTTGGGAAACCCCCAGAAGCCCGTGGCGCACATGGAGCAGTCCCGTCCAATCACGTTGGGCCGGCACCGGCACTGACCGCCGAACGGCTCGCAGGCGTCGCTCTCGGCTCCGGCCTCGTGACACGCGCAGGGAATCGCGCCGTTGTTGAAGAACGCCGACAGCGACACCGCCGAGCTGAGGCAGAACGGCGAGGCGGCTGCGGGACTGCAGAGGAAACGTTCACCACGTCAGTGAAGCAGCAAGACGTTAATAAAATATTTCTCCTCCTGGGCAACTGACCTCACAGAGAAGCTGTTCTGTCCACAGTTGCTGATGAAGTCGTACGATTTGTCCAGAGGTTCTTCGTTCAGGTAGCTGGAGCTGTAGCTCCGCTCAGGAACCACGAGAGAACGTAATCCTGCCGAGACATAAAACGGGAATTCATTCCTTCACTTTACGAACCAACAGGGACAACCAGTGACGAGCTACATTTAGCTGAGTAACTTCTTTAGTCTTCTTTTACAGACTGTTTCATTAGGGAGCTCAAAAAGTGGCAAAATTGAATCTGTAACAACTCTGAAGACATTAGATTATATGAGTTCAGTCTCGTATCTTCGGCGTAAGAACAGAATCAATTTGATCATCTGAGAAATGAAAGCAAAATCTCACCAGCCACAAAGTTCTGCCTGCAGGAATCTGAACGGTGAGGAAAACGTCGTGCTGCGTCACATCCAGCATGATCTGGTTCTCCGAAACCAGAACGTTCCTGCAGCCGTAAGCATGGGGGCAGAACGAGGCGTTGGTCTGGCCTGAAACACACACACACACACACACACACACACACACACACACACACACACACACACACACACACACACACACACACACACACACACACGCACACAGACACACACACACGCACACAGACACACACACACGCACACAGACACACACGCACACACACACACGCACGCACACACACACAGATTCAAAGTCAGTTAGGACGCTGTAATTTTCTGCGTTCTATAGAAATGTTGATATTTTAGATATTAGCTGCAGATGCATCCTGTTCAACAAATAATCAAGTTTTCAATAAAAGAACGCTAAGTTGTTGCATTTTGGCTGATAAAATGTTTATTTGCAAATGTATTAATATTTTTAATATTGTGTTAAGATGAAGTGGAAAAATTAAAAATCTGAGGATTTGGGAAATTGTCTTTATCTAATTATTCGAGAATATTCGCTTACAAGCTGCATAAATATCTTCATTTAATTTATTAATTAATTTTTTTGTAAGTATAAAATAATAATCAAGTAAAACCTAAACGATTCCCTGCTCCCACATCCTTTACCATTACTCAATCCTGATAAAAATTTTTGATTTTTTTTTATCAGGATTGATTTGTAAACGCATACATCAAAGGAATGCTATTTTATTACATTTAAAGGACATTAAATGTTCTGTTCCCTTTTTAAAATAAGGAATTGAGTTATTTAATTGCATTTTTAGGAATTTTTAATATTGCATAAAATAAGCTTTATTTTTTTAAAATTAAGATGATATGGATTTTTTTTAACCTGATTAATCAATTAATGTTAGAATAACTGACACCATACTGTTACAATAATGCAACAACTAAAATAATAGTCCCAACATTCTTATTCAGTTGTATTTTAAAAAAATCAGTTTTCAATTTCACACATTTTTTGGGGTCAAAAGAGGCAAATTTAGTTGATTTGTGAAAGATATTTTTTGCAGTGTAGCGCTTGTTACCCTGCCAGATGACGCCTCCATTGATGTAAACCTGGACGGGATATGTGGGATGAAGAGGTTGGTGAAAATGGAGGATGAAGACGTAACGGCCGAGAGCCTGGAGGCGAGTCGAGTACACCGCTGCATTCTGGGTAACGGAGACGCAAAGGGAAACTTAAACAGGAAGTAAAACTGTAAAATGATCACCTGTTTAAATCAGCAGCTTTGAAACCTGCAGCGAGTCCAGACGCATGTGGACGCTGTTGTCGGCTCCGAACGGCGGCCGGACGTCTCCCATCCAGACCGGCTCGTCCCTCTGGCTGGGGGACAGCGGCGGGGCGGCGGACGCCTGGACCGGAGCGTCCTCCGTGGACGAGCTCTGGCCCTCCTTCAGGACCACAGAGTCCGACGGCGTCTGGAAGCGGGACGGGATGCAGGACGAGCTGCGACAGAGAGCAATCACAACGTGAGGTCGTTTCTGCAGCTGCGTTTCCGTCACAAATTCACACACATTTTGGTCAAAATTCAGATTATGTAATCTGTGTGTTTGCCTGTCGTTGTAAATTCAGATTATGTAATCTGTGTGTATTTACCTGTCATTATAATTTCAGATGATGTAATCTGTGTTTACCTGTCGGGGGAGAACTGTCCGTGCGTCCCGATGCAGTGGAGTCCAGGCTCGACAAACTCCATGGTGAAAACGTCTTTGGGCACCAGGTAGACTTTGTGCTGCAAACAATGAAAAAATGTTTAAAGAATAAAAGCTCAATTAATTCAAATAAACGTTAAGATTTTCTATCCCTTATTTTGGAAATCAAGACAATATTTCAAGCCTCTATCTCATAATTAAAGCTGCAACAAACAATTATTTTAGTAATCAATTAATCACTTATTCTGATAATGAATCAATTAAAACAAATTTTTTTAACTAGATATGCATTTTTTAAATACAATATCAGAAAAAGTGCAAATAAACAATTAAATCAAAGTTACATTTTCACATAATTCCTTCAGTTGATCATTTGTAGCAAAGGATAAAAAAATATTTCAATGTTTCTGCTCGACTTGTTTTCTGCTCCACTCTGATTGTAAAAACGTAAACATTGGAAAGTCGCGGCGCCGGCGCCGTCCAGCTGCTGGGAGCCTCAGACGTTATTTGGTTCTGCAGGTGATTATTCACCTTCCAGTGACGATGAACAGATTCGTCTTTGTGTCGGGACAGAAGAATGATTCTCACCAGAAAGAAGGAGGCGCGCTCCGACGACAGCTGGACGTCGGCGTCGGTGGCCAGAGAGAAAACCGCCACCCGGTTCTGGTCGTCGACCGCCACGACTCGACACAGGAAGCTGCAGAACGCAGACAGGAAGATGAAGACGTGATGACAGAACCGACCGGAGCCCACAGACTAAACGCTCCGCGCTCTTTGTGTTCCAACCTCATGTGGACACTGAGGACATGAGGGATGAATTTTCTTTTTCAAATAATTTTTTTATTTGGGAGGAAAGTTTTCCTTTCCCTTCATTAGTTAAAGGTTCAGACATTCAGGGTCGAAGGTGAAGGTGGAAGCAGAAAGTCAAACACTGCAAAAACACAAAATCTTACCAAGTTATTTTAAGTTTAGTTTCCAGTGCAATTATCTTGTGCACTTAAAAAAAGACAAAACTAACTTCAGCGAGAAACAGCAGCAATATTAATATTAATATTGATTCTACTGGAAGGAAAGATATTTCTCCCATTTAGTAGGTGAAATAATCTGCCGTTGAAACTGGAACTTTTTCATCAATATTAAGAAATTATTGTATTTAAACAAGCTGAACTTACTTATATGTTAGTTTAAAAGTAATATGACATTTGAGCTCGAAAATAGACCAAAAATACTTGGTAATATTTTGTGTTTTTACAGTGCTCTTCAGTACAAATTTACAGAAAAAATAGTTTTTCATCTTTGATGCAAAATGAATATTTTTTGTACAATTTTGGCTTAATTGCAGCTTTTGTCCCCAGAAATTTGCCTTTTTTGTGAGTTTGTGTCTTCAGTTAACGATTAATCGTTCACAGCTATTTAAACAGTCGATTAATGACGATTAATCGGTTCAGCCCTGGATCAAATGCCTGTTCAGCTCCAGATAAACAGGAAGTGGGTCAGAGAGGCGGAGGACGGATGGACAGGTGTTCGTATTCACCTGAACTTGCAGTGCAGCAGCGTCACCAGGTGGCGCTGCGTTGGCGCTCCAGGCGAGTTGACGGCAACGCTCAGCGTTTGCGGCAGCTCTTCTTCGCTAGAGTATTCGACCACCAGCGCGTAGTCTCCAGGAGAGGCCAGACGACCCCGCAGCTCGATGCTGATCTGGACCAGAACCGAACCGTTACAACGTCTTTCCCTCTTTTAATGCTGAAGTCTGCAACTTTCACAAAAATATGTCTGCATCTCGTGACGTTTTGTTGTGGGACAGATAATCTCAGAAAAGGTTGATCTCCTTTATTTCCTCCTTGGCCAAAAACAACCAATCAGAGCCAGGAGGAGGGTCTTAGCGCTGTCAATCATTCTCATGTACTCGCTGCTAAGTGTGCTAAAGGACAAAAGGCATATTGGTGCAGGGAAACCCTTTGCCTGCTGGCTAAGCTAACTAGCTCAGCATTGGTTGCATCTTATGTTGTGGTGAACCGACCATAGCTTAGCAATGAGTGAAGTGGAGGAGATATGCAAGAGGTTGATTGACAGCGCTAAGATTTCTGGGGGAAGGTTGATGTTTTTCCACAGATTTCCAACATAATGATAATTTTAACATGTAAAGGTCTTTTATTTTCACATAGAGATTCTGCAGCTTTAATTACTCTTAAAACATGTGAAATAACCCAGCGGTCGGTCGTCTTACGTCCAGCCCGCTGCAGACGGCCATGTCGGGGTGACGCGGCGTGACCCTCTCGGTGGGGCACGGCCGCGGCAGGTGGTTGTCATGGCGACAGCTGGCGTCGTTTCCGGAGATGGACGGGAAAGAGTCCAGAGACAGGAACTTGTACAGCAGGCAGCTGGACAAACGTATTTAAAAGACAGACAATTTAGAGATGATGATGAACTTTGAACAGAAAATGTGTTATTTCAATATTTTTATAAAGACATTAAAACTAAGGTTTTCTGAACAAAATCCTTTGAAAAATCAAATAATAATATTTACTTCTGGCTGTTTTCAGAGCTGTAAGTGCAGGGCTCAGTGACTCTGATCTGCAGGATGGGAGCTTCATAGTAGGCACTAGGCAGCAACACCAGGAAGTCCTGGAGACAAATAGTCAGAAGAAACTGACAGTCAGGATAAAATATCAGTGCAATATTCAGTGGTGCATTTTGTAAGATCAATGAATGTAATGATAAAAGTTTTATTAGTCATAAATCTGTGACTGCATCCAGTCAAAATCCTGCAAATAGAAATACTTCTGTAAAAATATAACTGATCATTTCTATTATTAACTTGAATTAACTGCGTTGAAGCTCTGCCTCTAAATAACCGCACTGACAAAAATTGTGAAAAAATAAATACAAAAAATTAAAAGGGAAAATAGAGAAAAAAAAAGACGACAAAAAGATAAAAACGGAAAATAAACTGGAAGAAAAACAAAAAAGAATAAAGAAAAAAATGTAAAAAGAAAAGAAATACTTTAAGAAAAAAGTAAGCACAAAAAATAGATGAAAAAAAGAAAATTAAAAAATAGAAACAAAATTTAAGGACATAGAAAGCAGAACAAGACAAAAGTGATAAAATATGTTTAGAAAAGTGTGTTAAATAAAAAAAGCAAAAAAAGAAAAGAGAAAATGGAGAGAAAAGGTTAGAAAAAATAAAATAAATTTATTGACAAACAAATATCAATTAGAGTTTATTAACACAACAATAAATCAGAATTTTTCTATGAGTAGTGATAATAAATAAATGGCAGCAGTCATTGTGGACAGAAGAACTGATGGCGAATCGCTGCAGGTTACCAGTAAGATTCCCTCGGCTTCGATGACGACGGTCCAGCTTCCTGGGTTCAGCACGAACGGCTCCACAAAGCTGTTCTGGGGAACGTTGACGAACGTCGGCTGCACACTCGGCGCAAAGACGATTTGTTTGGACTGTTCTGAACCTTAAAACCCAAACGTCAGAAAAAAACTGCATCAGTTTCCAAAACTTTCCTAAAAAAGTCAAACTAAAAATGAGTGAAGTGTTGGAGGAACTCAGGAAGAGACGAAACTGATAATCTGCTGTTTTCACTGCAAAAACACAAAATCTCACCAAGTCTGGTCTAGCAAATATCTCAGAATACTTTAATAAGATGAAACTAACTTAAAAGTAAACTTTCAGCAGGAAATTGGATGTTAAGTAAATAATTCCTTTAATATTGTTTCATTGGCAGAATATTTCACTTATAAACTGGGAAAAATATCTGGTTATAAATGAAATAATCTACCAATGATTTTTTCATCAATATTAAGCTCCTATTTCTTCCTGAAAATGTTAGTTTCGTCTTATTTCACGTGTTGTAAGCGACTTGCACTGGAAGCCAGACCAGAACTCCTTGGTTCGACTGTGTTTGTGCAGCGTTGGGTGGGACGTACCTCTGCGGTTGGCCTGATAGGCTGTTATTTTACCGCTGGAGGTGACTCCCTCAGAATTGACATATCTGAGGATGAACCGAGTCAGATAGACGTCTGCCTCGCTCACATAAACCTGCAGCTTCACCGCAGTCTACCAGGACCGGGTCCGAGGTGAGAAAGAAAATACGTAAGTCTTACACCGCTGACATATCTACTGACCTGTGGCCCTGAAGAGGAAAATATACGGAGCTTAAAGACAGAAAGAGAAGTCACCACCACAAAGTCTGCATGAGCCGGCTGCAAACAAGCGACCTTCGTCTGACAGGACAGGTGGGAAAGACAGACAGGAATGAAGATGTTTCTCTGCTAGAGTCTCGCTGCAGTTATCGCTTTTTGATTCTGCAAGTTTACAAACACGTTGCAATGTGACGTCTACATCCAAAACTGCTAGCTGACTAGCAGTTTGCTAAAACAGCATTGGGTTAAATCAGGGGTCAAAAGCTGTTTGACCCCTGACCACGAATCAGTGGTCCACTGACAGCCTTAGACGGGTAAAAATGTTTGTTCAAAAAAAATGTTGTTAACCAAAAATAGAAAAAAATATTATTCCAAGCTAATTTTCATTTTTAATTTAATGAATTTTTTGGCCTTCCAGTTGTCTGAAGTTGCCTGTTTATGCCCCAAGATGCAGAAAATTGTTTTTCTTTTAATAAGTGAACAATTCAAAGCTCTTTTTATGTTTTGA